CAATGGTCACATAGGATCCTCTCCTTTCCAACTCATGCGTAGGACCTAAAATGATCATCATTAAAGTTGATATGGATCTCTGAAAAAATTATCACATGAATGTGGGATTTGACTTTTCTATAAATCTGTGCTAAATTTAATGGTAATCTTTTGATGTCCTACACACGTGAATAGAAGAAAGTCCTATAGGATCATTTCTCTTTACTAAGAATTTTGTTAGGCTACACTACTTGGTGATGTAGACCATTACAGTGCTCAATATTTTTTTACACTAAAATACCCTTAAATTGTAATACAAGATTTTTCAAGTAGGGATACTTTTTATCATTTAGAAGAGTAGAATGGATATTTTTTATACAAAAAAATAGTGACATTTTAATAGTATTTAAAAATAATTAATGTATATTGTGGGTGATGTCACACACCATATCGATGATGTCATTGTTCACTATTGTTAATAACTGATTTTATTTCAATTAAGAATTTCTAGTTTACCATTGACTAATTACTTAAAATACCTTTAAACAAAAAATTATTATAGTATAGAATAAATGTATCTAAATATCTAAAATTATTGAGCACTGTAAGGGTTTACACTGGTGTAACCTGACAAAGCCTTTTTCAATACATGAATTATAGAGAGTATCCAACATTGGAGCATTCTCTTCTAGAGGATTTTCATGATGCACCGTACTTCATTAGTATAAGGTTGACACCTTATATGAGCCTTTTTGTTTATGAAAAAAATCTGATTTATAAATTATTTAATATTTTATTAAAATTTAACTATTTCAACTCAAATGAATTTTGATGAGATTTTTGAAATTAAATAAAACTATAGGTAAAAGACTAAATAATTCGTCTTTCGAGGTGCATTATTACACATCACTCTTTTTCTTTTAGTGACTTGATTAATCCTCCGATATTTAGCTCTTAAAATGACAATAACTATTCTTAGATTCCAACCCATTCTTCTCTTTGTGGAAGAGAACATTGGCTGCCTATTACAAAAATGGCCTTGAAGACAAATCATTAAAATTTTCTATACCAGTCTTGTGCTTAAAGTTACGACTCAAGCGTTGTCAATTCGTCTCAGAATCAGCCGAG